CAGTGCTGCAATGATGTTCAGCGTATCCACGGACTGCATGGAGACGCTGAATGATCCCCATAGAGATGCGTTGATTCAACGCATCAGGAGATGCTAATTAGCGCACAAGCAATAGCCACTTAAATGCTTTACTATGAGACAGCATAGGCTTGGCTGAGATCATCAAGATTGATTATCGCAGCCATGAAGGTGAGGCTAGCCATGAAGAGACAGGCACAGCTTGGGGAAAAAAAGGGGAGTTAAATCAGAGGGGGCCGGTCACCTTAACACACACACACAGATATATATCCGGTACAATGTTAAACAAATATCTGCACACCAGTCAAGCCGTAAGACTTTCTTTTCCCACATAAATCTCAAATTTGCATTGATGTTACTACTGCAAAGGATTCTGGGTGGGCATATGCAAATTAGTTTAACAAAGTCAAAGTTTTGCTTCATTATTCCATTTTGAACATGGATTCCTTGGAGTCTGTGTTTGCTGTAAACAATAGCTTTGAAGCACATCTAAGGAAGAGATGCAAAGCCAGCGAACCTCTCATGGACAGCTGTTTCGTTGTTCATGCAACTCATCAGCATGAGGTTGATGCTGGTTTGCTATTGAGACTTGGTGTTACTTGCAAAGCACAAACCAAAAAAATACATTTTACAATTATTTCAAGTTTAATTCACCCTGTAGTGGATTGATCAGTTTTCCCTGGGGTCCAGTGGGGCTGCTGTAGTCTCTTGCTCTGGCGCAGTTTAGTGATGCAGTGGCAACACCATATTCCGGCTCCCGGCATTACTGCAGGTTGTGCAAAGGAACAGAGAGGGTTGAGCTCCCTCCTTCGCCGCCTCTGTCCTGCACAGCTAGCCACCTCCTCTGCTCTCCCACAGGCGATTGGCCCCCTCCACTCTCCATCTGCCAGCACCTGCATGCTCCCTTCACTGCCTCAACTGACCAGTTCACAAATCCCATGCGCCAGGAAAAAAAAATTCTAGTCACCATGGCACCTGGGATTTGTCAAGCCCTGACAGATTCAATTCTAAAGAGGATTTAATGTACTGTCCAAGAGAGTGATTGAATGTTTGGATATAAGCTTTCCAACATTGTAGTAACTTTTTGGTCCTTGGATTTTGATAGTGATAAAGTCTTACCAGTCCATTTAGAAAGCACAGTTAGTCCTTAAACAGAGAGTGATGGTCGGTAGGTTGCTACCAGGAACGCTTTGGGTTTAGTACTCAGGATAAGTACTTAAATGTCTGCAATTGGTTTGGCAACTAAGTAAGGTCCACCGGGCCCTGGTCATTACCTCTTTTGCTGCCAGAAACTGCAGCGCTGAGCTAAGCTGACATTGTAGGATTTAGTTCACCTGTTGCTCAGATGGCTCTCAGCTAATGATCTGGCGCTGCATGGCAGGGCTTAACTCAGTGGAGCTAACATAAGCTCCTAACTGGAGCCTCCAGCTTCAGAGATTGTGACTGGCGGACCCTATGTAAGTTGTCAAACAGTTTGTAAACATTGACTTGTTATCCTGGAAGGGTGCCAAGTCCACTCCTGTCACTACAGCAATCTTTACTGGTCATAGTGCAATATAATGCTATAATACATTAAAAAGAATAAAATGATTAAATTTTTGCAAATTAAAAACAAATTCAATCAGGAGCATCATTTGTGTATTACTCCAAGAAAACACCATGAAGTCTCAAAATAGTCGATTTGTAACATCAGGAAGAATCCAGAGGCCGCTGCTTAAAACAATGCCCAGAGCACAATGCGTTTTAAGTGAAGATATGACTCACTAACCGGATGACTAGAATACTTATTGCCGACTATAAGCCAAAAACACAGTAATAAAAACAGAGATTGGAGAATGTTTCCACTTGACATTTATACCTAGAATTTTGCAATGTCCATTCATTAAATCACCTCTTGAGAAAACATAAAATGATGGCACCTTATGGTTAGAGACCACGATCCAACACATCCCTTGTTATTGTGGCTGCCCTGGAATTTTGTTGATTTTAAAGGACATCTGAGACAACAGAATATACAAAATAACACCATCTTTCACGAGTCTACTCTCAAAACCTTCATAGCCCTGTACAATGCTGCTTGAACCATATGCAACAAGGCAGCACTATAAAGAAGCCGAAGGAAATGAGAAAATCTGTGTCAGGCAGTTTTCTTGTATTATTGCACATCTACATGACTAGACTAAAAAAATAAATAGTGACAATAGATGCATGCTTATGTATAGCTTACAAAAATCCCATCTCCTATGTGTCAAACACAAAAGGCTAAATGTATACTTTGTGAAGCTTTTTTTTTTTTTTTTTTTTAAACCGGATTAATACATAAATCTTTCTAAATACTAAGCTTTCAAGGTTTACAGAAAGGCTCAAATCATTACTTCCCTTCCAAAAACGCTTGTGCCCAGTACTGTTAACTTCAGATCATTTTGCTTCCTCCAATAGCTTTACTTTGGAAAAAAGCTCATCATGATTATGTATAGGGCATCTGACACACGTATCTTTACTTAACAATACAAAACCATGGTGACAGCCAAGATTGGAAAACCGGTTAAAGGGATACACCAAAGACCAAATTAATTTTCGCATACAGACCATGCCACTGCAGTTCACTTTTCTGCCATGTGAGAGTTATACACTTCACACGGTAACCTACTAATCAAATACAAAAAAAAAAATCCACTGTTTAGTAGACCTAATTCCAATGAAATTAATGCCTTCCAATGCATTCTTTAGGGATATAACTTTAAATTGCTTGCAAAAGCTGCAGTACTCAAACTGCAATCTTTGTAAACCCCCAACCCACCATTTTTTCTTTAGAAAAGAAGAAAATCAATCCTTGTGCACGTGCGCAGTCTAGGAGGACTTATGGAGGGGGAGACAGGCATAAAGTAGAGTGCATGTGCCACTTCTGTTAGCTTAGGGGAGCTAATGGAAGACAAAAGTAAACCTCTAGCGGTTTCACAGAGAAGGGGGTACATTTTTAGAAAAGTGTGTTTTATGGAATACCTCTCACACATAAAGCACATCAGCAAGCTAAATTTTAATGAGTGTGGAACGGTTTTAGAAGTCCCTTTTGTTTTTGTTTATGCAGTCCTAGCCACACCTCTACTGGCTAAGAGTCTCACAGTCTCCAAGAAAAAAGTCGTTTTTAAATCAACAATAAAACAGTGATTTTTATTAAGTTCTTATCTCCTATGAACTTTAATCACATCCTTCAGCTCTAATAGCCAATTAAAAAAGGAAATACACAATTCTAAATTAAAGGGACACTATAGTCACTCCGATCTGATTGAAGTTATCCGGGTGCAATGTCCCTTTCCCCTGGCTGTCAGTATGACAGAGTAAAACTTGGTCACATGATGAGGAACACCCTCCTCATTAAAAAGAATAAAAGGATTTAAAAGCATGGAATCAAAGCTTTCCTATGCACTTTAGGTCCCCAATGCTTTTCTATGAGGAGTAATGGATCGGGCCATAGGCAGAGGAATCCTGCCTCATTCGTGATGGCACTGGAGAAGGAGAGTTTAGCAGTGTTGAGAGAGTCTTGACCCTTGAACAAGGAAAGTTAATGTATCACGTTGTAGTGTTCCTTAAAAACACTGTGCAGTAAAGGAAGTTTACAAATTATATTTCTCTTTACAGGAAGTGCATAGGGTTACTGTTTAAGTCACATTTAAGGAAGGTGTGACTAGGGCAGCATAAAGAAAGATTTAACTCCTAAATGGCAGAGACTTGAGCAGTGAGGCTGCAGGGGCATGATCTATACACCAAAACTACTTCATAAAGTTAAAGTAGTTTTGGTGCTTAGAATGTTCCTTTAATGACAGCCAAAAAGTGACATCAGCTCTTGGCAGCTGAAGAATCTGGAACAGAATGGCAGCGCTCACAATGGAAAGAATAACATACATTACACTGTCTCCAATGTCCAAAGCACCTCCAGTGAAGACGTCACCGTTGCGGGTCATAGCAAAGTATGCAAAGACCCCAGACAGTGACATAGCAGTGTTTAGAAGCATAATTCAGTACATTTGTTTAATTTTAATAAATTTACCTCATTTACTGCACACATCCTTGCTATGGAGCCAATGTTATTTGTTATGGTTACCAGAGTGGCTCTGGCAAGGTCTTCTTTACTGACAGATTCCCGTTTGTCTTTGTAGATCATGTTCCCAAAACTGAAAAGAGAATGGGTTTGCAATTGTAATGTTACTTATAAAATGCATTGAAAATCCCCCCACAAAAATAAACATTTACCAAAAGAAAAATGTTATATTCCCTGGAATTGTTGTATGAGAATGAGTGCAGTGGGACTACTGCAAGGGATTCTGGGTGGGCATATGCAAATTACTGAGTAGTGTTTCAAAACTGTTGTATACAGCAAACAAACTCCAAGGAATCCATGTTTAAAATGGAATATTGAGGCAAAAAGGTGATTCTTTGTTGAACTAATTAGCATATCCCCACCCAGAATCCCTTGTATTAGTAACATCACTGCAAATTTGAGCTTTCTGTGGGAAAAGTCTTGACCAGTGTGCAAATCTGTGTTTATAGTTATTTAATACGCTGTTAAATATACATATATACATATACACCCCCCTTCTCCACCAATCTGGTTACCCCCATCCTTCTTGTTATACAAAACTCATGCAACAATTCCAGGGAATGTACGTATGCATTGCCAACTAAACATGCCATGCATATAACAAACTTTATCATTTGTGCAAGATGTGTTCATATAGGAAATGGTGCAATTACCACAACTGTCACTTTAAATAAAAAAAAATAAAAAAAGGATTATTCAACTGTATCTGTCATGAAACACACACACAACCTTAAAAAGGAACACTGTAGTCACTTTAGCTGCCTCATCTCATTAAAAAAGTTATAGTATCTGGAATCCTCTAGTGCCGTTCTTTCATTAAGCGTTTAACCATTTTAAAAATGTAATACTAAACAAGAAAGTCCACAGACATTGCTCATTAGCCCATCCCCTGTGCTGCTGCTAAGAAAGCATCAATAAGCAGGTGTGATTGGCTAATGGTATCAGCTTACAGCCCATCAAAGCACCACGTTCTGGATGGAGAAGCTAAACATAGAGAGAGTGTCCCTCTGCCCAGCAACACATTCATTAAAACTAAGTGAAACCTTTTTTCACTTACCTCTTTCCAGTGCTGAGGTCCCTCTATGCTGGATCGACCTCATCCCGCAATGTAACGGTGATGTGGGAGCCGAATATCCATGCACCACATGCCTTCCCCATAGGAAAGCATTGAATCAATGCTTTCCTGTGGGTATTATGAAGACGCTAGAGGTACACGTGCAAAGATTTTAACTCTGTGAATATGCAGGAAGCGTCTAGTGGCGGTCTAGACGACAGCCATTAGAAATTGTCTTAATCCTACAATGTTTTACACTACAGGGTTAAGAAACACTGCACCCAGAACATTTCAATGAGAAAAAGGGACAGTATAGCCACCCAAAACACTAAAACAGTCTCATGAAGGGACTCCTTTTGTCTTACGTATTTTTCCTACACCTCACTTCCTCTGATCAAAAGAGGAGGTTGAGTCAACTCCATTTCCGGGGTCAAGAAGAAGGGTGAGTACTTTCTCTGACACAGGAAATCGAGCTGACAAGCTCCCTTGGCCAAAAAAGTCAAGCATAGGAAAAATACATAAAACAAAGTAGTTTCTATTTTGTCTTATGTTTTAAAGAAAACTATTTCAGAAATAAGATGAGTATATTCTGAGAAAGGAAGAGAAGAGGTTTCCAAAAGGTAAGTTTGACGTGACACTGCCACTTTAATCTGTTGAATGACAACTAGGATCTTTAGGAAAACAGATGTTTTCTCAGGAGTAGAAAGGTCAACTTTTTATACAAAATATATCCTAGCCTGTATAGGAAAGATTTAGGCCAGCCTTAATTTATTAAAATATTATTGTCATTGCAATAGCATCCATATCTGTATATATTAAGGGGTACCACTTACGATGTCTATCATTGCCTATTGTTCAATATCTAGAAATATTACACTTGGTTATAAATGTATTGTATGAATAAGAAAGAAAAAATAATCTAATACTATTGGCACAGTGAATATCAGCATCAGGCAAATCAATCCCTCACCAGTAAGAAGTTTATCAATCAGCAGCAGCTCAGTCTCCTCCTTATCCCATAAATCCTTGCATAGCGGGAAATCATAAGTAACCGTTCCACACAGTAGGAGAGGAATTACTCTGTAGCTGAATGAAGTTATATTGTGACTACAGTCAATTAGCACACAGCAAGGCTTTTACCTTAATCAGCAGATTTGGGAGGATCATGAGCTGAGTCCTTTCAGCACATCTTACATGCAAAAACTGGACAAATCACTGCAGTTATATGACACGCTCTCTTAGGAGAGTGGGTCCAGGGTACTTTCTGCACCAACTTTGCAAAAAATGTAAAGTGTATGGTGCTTTAAGCAATGTCTCACAGACAAACATTCACAGACTTCACAAAAGTCAAGGAAACATTTCTATTACCTGGAAGCAACAGCCCAACCAGGAAGTCCAAATCTTTCATAGTCTCCTCCATAGATGTCCCGAACTAGTTTGTCGGCATGGGTGCTATCTCCTGATGAAGCCATTTCCAGAGCTTCTTCGAAGCTCTCACAGCCTGTCAGTAAACTGCAGAGGCCAAGGAATGTACCACCACCTAGGCTACAAAGACAATTCAGGACATTAGTGCAATAAAAAAAAAACACTTGCTGGTATCCTTGTAGAAAGATGGTGATTACCCATTTTTGAATACTCAAGCATTGCACACATTTGACAATTCTTACAAATAATAATTGATGAAAACTCACTACCTTGTTCCAGAGACTCTTTTGTAACAATCTTTGGAATGGACTGCAAGTATACTGACTCCAGATCCAATGTTTACAACAAGTAGAGGATAAGGATCATCTAAATTGAAAGGCATCTTCTGGCATCTCTCAGGGTGGGAGGCATTTTCAAAGTAGTAACACTCAGCCTGGCCATTAAAACTGATAGAGTCAATGTACAACAAGCCTTTAACCAAGGAGTCCAGTTCATCCACTTTGTGCAACTGAAGATTTCCGATCTGCAAATAAATTAGAATGGGAGT